TTATTCTTATTGTACCTCCCTCCATTTTGCCTTCAGGCTTAGTTGTTTTATAAAATAAAACAGAATAAAATAGTGATGCATGTAAAAGTGTAAAAAAGTTAAAACTCTGAAAGTGAAAATTAATAAGTCCCAGTGCTAAAGAACATTAAAAAATATCAAAAAGAGCGATCATGAATCTTCAATTGCTAGATGATCAAACATATGTGAAACACGTATCACCCCACTCCGTGCTCAAAAAAGGCTTACCAGATATATTTGACCATCATGTTATAGAGTGGTCAAAATGGGCTCAAGAATGATCATAAAGCAATTGCTCCAGCCTCCTCCATGACCTCCAAATGTGGTTCAAATGTTTTTCACCTGCTCCGTGCAGAACGTCAATGCTTGCGTTGTTAGGCATAAAAGTGGCGTGTACATGAAATGAGAAAACTTCACTATTGCAACTCTGCAATTCCATCTTTGTTGGCCAACCTTTCCATGGACTGTTCCACCTTCAGTTTATCATATGATAGATTGAAGGGGGAATAGTCCATGAAAAGGTTCTATACGGAGTGGGTGAATGCCATTTGAACCACATTGAAGATTCATGATAGCACTTTTTGATATTTTTAATGTTCTTTTGCACTGGGACTATTACGATTTTACTCTATAGGAGCATAGACAATCTTGTGTTTTGTATTCTGTGATGTGTTATTATTAAACAACAATCACAAACTGGCCCTGACAATTAGAGCCAAAAAAAATGTTCATTTTTTCAAAACTTGCATTTTTATTAACTGATTATTTCAATGAAGAAGTATCAACACATTAGAAAGGTAACTGGTGATTTTTATTCTTATTGTGCCTCCCTCCATTTTGCCTTCAGGTTTAGTTGTTTTAATACCTCCATGAACCTTGTTGAAAAGTGCAGTGATAGATCGTCACCAGCACCACATTGTTTTTCCAGTGTCCATAGGAGGAGTTTCTGAAAACCATTTATGATTTGTGATCTTAAATCTTTTTGTTTCCAGTAAAATAACTCAAGTTCCATTTGCATCCAGATTAACAACTGCTGTAACTGTCTTATTGTGTTTACTAGAAAATAAGAGTTGCATTAATGCATAAAGAAATATTTATGATATATCAGTGAGTGACCCAATTTTATTTCTAAAGCCCTGGGCATAATTCATTATCTACCATACAGCAAAATATATTTATGATAATAGATAGTTTTCTAGGTATGACAGTGCTGGTTCTTTCCAATGTGACATACTGTATATAGAAAGTAGGATACAAAATATGCTTGATACAACACCTCAAAACTAAAACAATGGAAGCATTGGAAGTATTATTCCAGGAAACTGCATGTTGTTTTAGGCAGCCTTTTGTTCAGTTAGTATTATCGATTTAAAAAATAATATTTTAGTAACATAGACTAGTGTTCAGCAAAGGGAACCTATCACAAAAAGAATTCTAAAACATGCAGCAATTCATTAATTGTGTAAAAAAAAACATGCTTCTGCCAAGAGTTTGGGTATCCAAATTAATGTTACAATGTAGTACCATATTTGCTGTAGGAATGGCAATGTAGTTCCCAGGCATAGAGCAACATTAGGTATAACAGGAATGTATAGTAATTTTGTACACTTTTTCAAAATATCATTTTTTTTAGTCAGGTAAACAAAAAAATCATAGCATATTAATATTGTTTAGTCTTCTTTTCAGCTAGCAGATACATCATTAGGCTTCTTTTAACTCTTTCACAGCCAAAGCCTTTTTTATGCTTTTTGCACGCATGTAAAAAAACATTATATATTTTCTGATAGCAGACATCCTAGAGAATAAAATAGTGATACAAGTAAAAGTGTAAAAAACTTAAAACTCTGAAATTGAAAAAGAATAAGTCCCAGTACTAAAGAACATTAATAATTATCAAAAGGTGCGATCATGAATCTTCAATTGCTAGATCATCAAACACATGTGAAACGCGTATCACCCCACTCCGTGCTCAAAAATGGCTTACTAGATATATTTGACCATCATGTTATAGAGTGGTCAACTGCTCCAGCCTGCTCCGTGACCTCCAAATGTGGTTCAAATGGCGTTAACCCGCTCCGTATAGAACGTCAATGCTTGCGTTGTCAGGCGTAAAAGTGGCATGTGTATGAAATGAGAAAACTTCACTATTGCAACTCTGCAACTCCCTCCTTGTTGGCCAACCTTTACATGGACTATTCCTCCTACAGTCTATCATATGACTGAAGGAGGAATAGTCCATGTAAAGGTTCTATATGGAGGGGTCAACGCCATTTGAACCACATTGAAGATTCATGATCGCACTTTTTGATATTTTTAATGTTCTTTGGCACTGGGACTTATTGTTTTTCACTTTCACAGTGTTTTTTCTTTTATACTATTTTTATTGAATTTCAAGTGTTGTTACATCTGGCTTCATGGATGTTTAGCTTGGCCAGTAATATTATTGTTTTTTTACACTTTTAGTGCTACACTTTTATTTGTATGTCTTGCAAATTCTTTGTACCAGAATTTAGTGTTGGCAGCTTATGGTCTCTCTGAACCTAGCGCAAATTTCGATATGAAATTTAAATAAAATAGTGATAGTTCCAATTTTTTATGTTAGTGCAAAGGTCTAGGAAATGAAAAATTTCACTATAAAGTACACTAAAGATACCCAACATGTCAAACCTTAAAATTGCTTGTACCTGTAAAATGGTGACAAAACGTGAGTACCCTATATTTTTCATAGGCAATTCTTTAAAAGCCCCAAAGGTCATCAGTTTAAAGTTACATAGGAGCTATGGTGCCAAAATTGATCTCACTCTGGTGGGTGTAATGATATATAGCAAGTGTATCACAATCAATCTTTTCATTTGTAGGCTCCCCTGGGTTTATGTTCATACATACTACTCTCCCTTGGCATCAGAGATACCGCTCTCTCTTGGTTCTCATCCTACCTATCCCGACGCTCCTTCAGCGTCACCTACAATGGTGCCACCTCCCCCTCCCTCCCCCTCTCTGTTGGGGTCCCCCAAGGCTCTGTCCTTGGACCCCTTCTCTTCTCCATCTACACCTCCTCCCTGGGCAAACTCATACACTCTCACGGCTTCAACTATCACCTCTACGCTGACGACACCCAAATCTACCTCTCCACCCCTCTCCTCACCCCCACCATCTCGCCCGCATCACTCACCTCCTAAACGACATCTCAGACTGGATGTCGCTACATTTCCTCAAGCTCAACCTCTCCAAAACCGAGCTCCTCGTCTTTCCCCCTGCCCACCCCCCCCCATCCTATCCATCATCACCAACAAACACCACCATCAATCCCGCCCCGCAAGCCAAAGTCCTTGGCGTCATTCTGGACTCAAACCTCTCCTTCCAACCTCATGTCAAATCACTTACAAACACATGCAGGCTCCACCTTTGCAACATTGCAAAGATATGTACCTTCCTCACCCCTGACACCACCAAACTTCTAGTACACTCCCTCATCATCTCACGCCTTGACTACTGCAATTCTCACCGGCCTACCCAAGTGCAGGCTCTCCCCGCTCCAGACCATCCTGAACTCAGTGGCTAGACTCATCCACCTCACCACCCGCTCCCACCACTGCCACCCCCCTCTGCCTCTCCCTCCACTGGCTCCCAATTGTCCAACGCATCAAATTTAAACTTCTAACCCTGACCTACAAAGCCATTCACAAACACTGCCCCTGACTACCTCACCAACCTGATCCCCAAGTAACCGCCCGTACCGCCCTACCCGTACCCTTCGCTCCTCACAGGACCTCGTTCTATCCTGTTCCCTGGTTTCCTCCTCCCATGCACGACTGCAAGACTTCTCCAGGTCCTCCCCCATCCTCTGGAACTCACTGCCCCAATCCATCAGACTGTCGCCTTCCCTCCTCACTTTCTTGCGCTCCCTCAAAACAATCTCTTCAGGGAAGCCTACCCCACCCTCACCTAACGGCCATTCTCCCTCTTTCCTCCCACCCCTCATTCCCCTCAGCCACTTCCTACTGTACCATTACCCTCTCCCTCCTAGATTGTAAGCTCGAAAGAGTAGGGCCCTCTTACCCCTCGTACGTTGTTTGGTATTGTTGTACTGTGCCATGTATTGTCCCCCCCTATTGTACAGCGCTGAGCAAACCCTTTGGTAACCCTATATAAACTCGATGTAATAATAATAATAATAATAATACATGTGTGTATGTGAGGATGGGGGAACCTCAAACAATTTTTTGGGGGTATTTTATGCTTTAATTTTTTACAATTTTTTTCTTTAGCCTAACTTTTATTTCATCACACTGGGAATAAAATTCCCCATATGTGATGATTTTTTTTGTGACAGGTTATCTTTTAATGGGACCCCAGGGGTCTAAAAGACCCTTGATGTCTCACCTGTCTTCCAGTGAATCTAATGCAGTGCAGATCGCACTGAATTAGATTCTTCCTCAACCTTACTGGCTGGAGAAATTAAAAAAGCGATGTTTTACAAATCGCCTCTGGGTCAGCAAAATGAAGGGGGGGAGTGCAGATGCATATGTTCACTCTTCTCCCTCCCCTGTGTTGGGGGAAGACCTTTAATAGGGGTGTGTGGCAGCCACCAGATTATTTTCATCTGACAGCTGGCAGCTGGCTTGATGGCTGCAGTATATGTAACCCCCCTCTGGCTGTCAGATCCATAGCATATCCATAAGTCATACAGACCCGGCAGTAAAAGGGTTAAACATGGTGCTCAAAGTTTGGTGTGAACACAAATTTTGGTGTTTGTTTGAAAGCCAGATTTTGTTTCTCATTCAGTGGGAGTTGACCATCATATATTTATAGTAATGATTTTCTCTACTGCTCATATATATAACAGCTTCCTTATTGTCAATGATTGTTAAGGAAGCTGTGGGAGCCAGAACCCTTTGTGTCCTTAGCAACCAGTGACATCGCCAAATCTATTCATTTAATGACTGCAAATCTCCAGCCATGTAAGCAATGTGGTGGGTATTGCACTGACATCTCCATGGCCACATTTGGCTGATGACATCACCTAGTATACCCTGATATACTTTTAGCAGCTGGGACCAAGAAATGTGATTCAGTGCGAGTAAACAATGGGAGTAGACAGGGGTGGACTGACCATTTGGAAACTCGGGCACTGCCCGAGGGCCCGGGGTCAGTAGGGGCGCCATGAGATGCCCCTGGTACTTTTTTCATTGTTTTTTTTTAGTTTGGGCAAGGACACAGAGGCCCCATGATCCCCTATTGAGGGCCAGGGTCAGTAGGGGGCCCCATGAGATACCCTGGTACCTTTTTAATAGGCTTTTTTGAGTTTGGGCAAGGACACAGGGGCTCCATGATCCCTATTGCTCGGGGGCCCCATGAGTTGTCAGTCTGCCCCTGGGAGTAGATCATATTGGTGGGGCATTGTTTATCGTGATTTACATAGATCTGCATCACTGTATGAAGTGATTGATGAACATCATGGGACTTTTCTTGGGTTTTTTAAAATTTTTTTCCTAAATGACTTGTCAAAAAGTGTGATGTTATTCACAATGTGAATGTGTAGGACTACTCTGTACTCCCTACTCATTTACAAGAGAGGATGGTATCTTGGTGCCTTCTTACAGTAAATTCGATTTTGATAAATCCCCCACTCACAGACCCCCACAATCAGGGCAGTGGGGAAGAGGTACTTGTCCTCATCAACATGGGAAGAAGGTGCTGTGCCAGTGGAGGCACCCCATGCTGAGGGCATGTGGCCTGGTATGGTTCAGGAGGTACTGGTGAAAACTCACCCCCTTCCTGCCCATCCAAGTTAAATATTTTTTTTGTGTTGGGTGCCCCTTGAAATTTATACCAGACCATCATCAAGGATAAAGGTCATCAAATGGAATTTTTTAAAACTTTTTAAAACCTTCTTTGGTTTGATACATGTTCCTAATGGCAGTGCCCAGCCCCCATGCCATTTATTTAAAAAATCCTTGCCTACTAGCTTAAAAAATGGCCATTACACATTAAACATTTAGCTCTCCTTGGCTTCAGTGGGGGTTGGATTCAACACCTGAACTTCAGTAAAGTTTGTTAAACCTGCTTAAAACCATACTCAGGTTTGTTCAGCTCATCCCTAGCTCCTTTTTATTTTTAAGAGCAAGATAAAGTCAATGACTCTTCAACAGTGACTCCAGCCATAGACTCATGCATTTTTAGAGGGCTCAGTCTGAAGTTTCAGTCATACAAGTATAGGTACAAAATGAACCGCTTTAGCATGCTCTCTCTTTTGAAAGCGTAAAGTGTTCTGAAATTCTTGTTTTGTGTTTATTTGTAAAACAAAGATTGCATATATACAGTACAATACATGGTTGAAAAAAATGTTTAATTTTATAAAACAAAAAAAACTGACCCACAACCATTGTAATTTCCTTTTAAATAAATGGCAAAAAAAGCAATTTCTACAGTGTTTCAATCTGTTGTATTCATTGTTAATTTGTTTTACATGTGACAGCTTTGCTTTAGGAAATACACTTAATTCATAGAATCATCCACTGATATCCTACTAAGGTGTCCTTTTATCATGCAGCGGTAAATGACCACTGCTCAGTTCTCCAGCATTCTCAGAGGAGAAAGTTCTCCTCTGAATGCCTTTTTATGAAGCGGTGTAGATCACTTCTCCGAATGAAGGGAGAAGCGATCTACAAACGCTATGAACGCTGGAAAACAGCTGCTGTTACTATAATCTTGCGAGATTATAGTAAGAGATCAGTCAAACACCATTTACTAAGCAGTGGTAAATTTTTGCTGCTTTGTTTGCGGTTCCTCTGATTCTCCAGCTCTGGGCTGGAGAATCTGGAGGGAGAACACAGATCGCCAGTGAAGGGCTGACATCGTGCCTTCATACACTGGCCATCTGCATGCTGAGATGATGTTCTCCGCTGATCATCTCTGTTTCCTAAACCACTAATGATCTGAGATCACCAACAATCCTCAGGATCACCGCTGATTTCTGTTTCATAAAAGGACACAAAAATCTGGACACACAAATGGCACCTTCTTGGCAATTTCAAATACTTTCAAGAAGGAATCAAAACCCTAAGCATTTTAATGGGCTGTTTTCGCAATCGATCCTGGAGAAAACAAATCTCATCGCTTTCAATCTATAGCCCAGCTTGATCAATCAAATTCAGGTGGACAACTGCTTGTGGGTGATTTTAGGCAGCCGTTTAAATTTCATGTTTGCTTCTCGGTTGATCAAAAGTGGTTGAAGTTGCCTCAAAGCTGCTGCCACATGCTATATATGGTTTAAGAATATGCTAAACTCCTAGAGAAAATAATTAGACACCAACAACCAATTGAGCAGAGTAGTTGTAGCTGTTTAGTTGTGTTGAACCACTGTAGATAGACTGCTGCTCCCTCACACTTAATAGAAACTTAACAGCTCTTAAAAAACATAGCTTTTTATACACCATGGCTTTATTTAATAAAAAGGAGGCTAAAATTGGGCTTTAAGCTCACCTCAGTCACATAGATCTAAAACAATAACATTTTTTTAGCAACAAGTTAATATTTATGTTTACCGTTACAAGCCAACTCTACACAAAGCTTTTTAGATAGAATGTATTATGGTAGAATCCTCTTTTAATTTTGTTTTGCTTTCTAGGATCCAGATGGGGAGATTTCTCTTTATTACCTGTGTGATCGATGAAACAGTAATGGATGAGGCATAGACAGGAAAAAATATCAGCAGTTCTTATCTTTGCAAAAAATGCACTTCAAGAAATAAAGCCCAAAATATTTTTTTTTAGTTTTGAGTGGGGAATACATATTGTGATAATTGTGCGCACAGATACGGACAATGACAACCATAATTTGGATTATACTTTGCAAATGTCATTCTCACTCCAAATCAGTCTTCCCCCTCCCTTTTTTTTGAATGGCATGTGGTGTGTAAACCCAATTAGCTGGTTCCATGATGTCTGTCAGACCCTTGCCTTGGCCTGGTCGTAAAGCTATAAACCAGTCAGTCACTGGACATGAAAGCATTCCAGAGTGGCAGTAAAACAGACATCCCACTTGAATCCACGTTTTCATACAATTTCATAAAATCCCGGCAGGAACAAGGTACAATAACACAAAGCATATATAAGATAGGTCAGTTTAATACCAGTCACCTGATACCTTACACCCCTAGATAATGTCTACCAGAGAGCAGAAAGGGATATCTTGTTATCCATCACAGCTGGTGTCATATTTGGTGTCTGGACGTTCAGAATATCATTCTGCATATTAACCTGCCAGTGGCTAGGCTGCTACATGCACCTATGGAAGGTTATTGACCATGGTATAAACTTGGGAGGGATTTGGGTCACAGCCTGGGTCTCCGCCTAACCCCTCCTCCCCAAATGAGGCGATTGGCCCTTGGCTTCAGTAGACACCCCCTGCTGGGACACTAGAAAAGCTGTCATGCCTGGAGAGAGATGTATGAAGAGATGCTCTCTTTTAACATCAGGAACCAACTTCGGGAGAAAAGGTACCCTTTTGTTCAGGGCACTTGAACTCTGCTTAAAACCAGGACTTCTGCAAGTATTCTACCTTCTTAAACTTCTGTCTTTTATCTCTCTGTTGTGTTATTGCTCTCTCCTAAAGGTGATGGAAAGTACAACATTTTATAATCATTACTGGGAAGGAGTATAAAATATTTATTTTTTTCCAGAGACAACAACTGTCCAAAGCTGGTCATAGCTTGCATTGCAGGAAAAAAATTGCTTGATTCCCCTATCAACACTGACTGTGTGGGAATTCCTCCTGCGAAGCCATTGTGTTAGCCGTCCCTGCTGGGAGAACACAGTGTGATTACTGCTAGCAGCTATGATAGCCGCTAACAATAATCGCAGGGTAAATCCAACAGGCTGGTTGTACCCAAGCCTAATCAATCAATCAACTTTGGTACATTTAGCCGCCTATACATGGTTTGAATCTTGGTGGGTCGCCTGCTGAACTGGCTTAGATTTTAACCTTTCTATGAGGGCCGGCTTAATGGCCTCATTTAGGGGGAGATTTCCACTTCTTTCCTGTTGTGTCTTACAGGAAGAATGAAAAAGGAAATTGTTGAATGGCATACAGATGACAAAAACAGATCTGATAGGGAGTTTAAGGTGCCATTCCCTACTTTGTACCAAATGCAAAAATGGCTGTAGGCATATTTAAGGGTCCACTTCACCCTGAAACTAATTTTTCATATTCTAGGTACTGGCATTTATTGGAAGGTAAAAAAGCCTTATGTGACAGAGTATAGATATACATAGAATATCATACAATTTGATACTTTAGAACACATTGTATGTATTTACTCATGTATCAGTCTAAATTGTATAAAACCTCTTAAAAAGTTTGTGTAATAAGAAACACTGTTTCATTTTGGTTCACAATATGTAAATAAAACACTCAAATAATTTTCGGTAGTCTTACCAAGATTGATCATGAAACAACATTGGTAGAAATGATAGAATATACATTTTTGGCTCCCAGATATATAGAATGTTTGATTTTTTTTTTTTGTGTTATTAATAACATTGCTAATTCCTCACCCTGTGAGAAAATGTCTAATAGACCCAGGCAAAAATAAACAAGAGCACTATAGAATTAGGCACATTTATGTGTCTTTTTATAAAGTAAAAGTAAAGTGTAAAATATTGTGTTTAAATATATTTTTTTATGTTATGCACAGATAGCTAGTTGGTGGGTCTGCATAATATTTTATACTTTTTATACCCTATCGAAAACCTATTTTTCTATTTGCACACATACACAAATGCACGCACACAAACACACACACACCACACACACACTCTATATATATATATATATATATATATATATATATCATATATATATATATTAGAGATGAGCGAATCGAAGTAGGCGAAGTGGAATTCGTTTCGAATATTAGGAAAATTTCGATTCGCGTTTTGGTCGAATCCGAAAAATAAGCAGAGTTCGGATGCGCGAATCGAAATTTTTCCTACAAATGGCGGCGACATGTGCGGCGACGGAGCGGGGATGTCTGGAAGGCGCGCAGACAAGGCGCTGTGACCCATAATGCATTCATTCATGACATGTGAATCGCATTAGCCAATCATGCAGCCAGCCAGCAGCACAGTGTAATGGGTCGAGCTATAATGGCGGCCATTTTAGAATTTCTCCATTTGCCTCCAGTCATTCAACCTGAGGCAGACCTGGCTGTATGCAGGGAGAGAGTTAGGGACAGAGAAAACGTTAGTTAGGGCCGACAGATCGTTACTTTAGGGCCATAGAAACGTTACATAGGGCCACAGAAACGTTTTACTTTAGGGCCACAGAAGTCGTTTAGTTAGGGCCACAGAAACG